CCAGCCTTGGATTTCTTGTTGCTCCAGGGCGTTTGCTTCCCTCCACTCCTTGTGTTGCCTGATGAGGCTGTGTGTGTGTTTGACTGTGCAGCAGTATCTGTCTGCCTCCCTGTGGCTGGATGTTGTACTGACATGGCAACAGGTGGCAGGTACAAGTTGAACTCGGGGGCTTTGGACGCACTGTCTGCAATAAAGCTGCACTGAGTCGAGGCGTCGCGTGTCTCAGCTGTGGGGATGTCGGCAGTTTGAGTTCCTGCATGTTGAGTTTCGCTGGATGTTTTTTTGCATTTGAAAAGCTCTGGGCTCCGAGTTTCAGCCTGAGGGTGAGGAGATGCAAACTGAGCTGTGCTGCTTCCTGTCTGTTGGCCATTACTTCCTAAGGCTTTATCTGGGCAAACCACACTCTCCATAACTTCCTGATCAACTGTGAAGCTCAATTTGGTTTTTATAAGTGAGGTGAGAGGCCTGGGCTGACAGTTTCTCTGTTGCAATTCTCCCTGTGAGCCCTGGTTGGGGGTATCTGCATAACAGACTTGTTCCATATATGAAGAAGGAGAAGCCTGGAGATGTGGCTGGCAGTATTCTTCATCCTTTAAAACAGTTAGAAAAGGAAAGTCTGTGTCAGATGTTCCCAAAGAGAGCAGTGGTGACTAATATTTGTTCACACTCGCTACACACTCTTTAATTACTTAGATTTTTAAATTAAAATAAGACTTAACTGTGGTTTGAACAGATTTGTTAGAAGGTTATCCCTCTGGAAAAGTCATCACTTTTATTTCAGACTTTTTACAAAACTCAAAAGAAACACAAAACAGCAACAAGTTGGACAAAAGTTCCCAACGTCACTTAACTTACATCATTTGAGTCTGAACTGAGGTAACCTCCTCCACAAGAGCAATTTGGCAAATATCCACAGCCATTCATGGGGCCAGTGTTGTGTCCAGGACTTGCTGTGGGATTGAAAAAAGGCATCTATTCATTTTCTTTCTTTCTCTAGCACATACACAATGAATGGGCAACTTAGTTGGAGATGCTGAGGAAACTCACCAAAGTTTATGTCACTGCAGTTGGAGAGCTGAGAGGGAAACAGAACTGACTGTAAAACTTTAACTGCCCACATGAAATGATCACCATACAAATCCTGTTAGAAGCTCTGTACAACAGCTCGTGATGTTTGGAGAACCAGGCAAAATTTTACTAATGATCTACTTGGCTTTTACTTAGATTTTTATTGTTTGTTTTCAATCAATTCAATCTTTGTTCCTTGGCAATTACAGACTCTCCCACTTGGTGGCAGTGAAAGGTTACTTTAACCTTAACACACAGATGTATAAGAGTTTACCTCCATTCCCATGGTCTGTGCGTCAGGGACAGTTCTGACAGTAGAGATTAAGAAAGAAAGTCCAATGTAAGAACACCTTGAGAGAATAATGCATGTCAAAAATAATAAAGTGTTTGCTTATATATTAAGTACAAACACTTACTGTGGTGCTGAAGATTTGACTGGTGTTCCATCTTTGAGATATATCTTTGATTGTGCACTCATAAAAGAAGAGGCTGAAATCAAAGTTAATGTTAACCTGAAGAAAAAAAAAGACTCATTGTGCTTATTTGAAGGTTTCAAGCAGTATTTACCCTCTCTTTCATATTCTTCATTACTGAAGCCCCTAAAGACGTCCTCCTCAAACTGCTGCTCAGTTTCTGACTGGTTAAGCGTGAAGTCCAACACGGGCTCCATGTCCTCTGGTTGGTTAAGACAGAAGCTGACCTCATGTCTTGTGCGGTCTCTTGCCCCTGAAACACTATGACACAGTGGTTACAAAATGACCAGTTCATTCAAGGAGAGCAAAACATCTACATTCTAGTGGTGGTCTCACTCTGCTTCTGGACTTCCAAACAGGACTGCTGTGGGTGTCTCCAGTTGGTAGAGGGTTGGGTTTGATCCACAGGACCAGAGCATATTGTCTGTCATAACTCTGGGCTGGGAGAAAGGCTGAAACTAACAAAATAAATTAAGATTAGATGTTAGAGAAGCATCATATTTGGGAACACACTGTCACCTGTTAATGCTTAGACCTTCATAGGAGCTCCTATAGTTAGCTCGTAGAAATAATTTGGCCAATTACCACAGAGTGGTCTACAATACTATTTCTGACACATCTGCAGACACAGAGAAGTAGATCAAGCCATTGTCAGTTTATTATTGTCCAGATAATACAAATGTTACAAAGCCAAATTGATTGTTTTGTTGTATTTAATAGTAATTTACTGATCTGTCCACTTGAAAAAAAAATTCACGATTACCATGACTATTTAATTCTACGCCTGGGATGACACTGCTTGACAAATTTGAAAGTTTTTAATTAATATTACTGGCAGTATTGTAAGCAAATGCTTTCATCTGATGACATTTGAGGTGGCAGTTTGTCCTGCTGCTTTGCTCAGGGTGTGGACAGGGTGTGGTACTCTTTTAACCAAAGCAAAATATTACTTTAAGGTGAAATGCAAAGCAGGGTTATAGTAGGCTGATACTTTCCTATGAGCAAAATCTATGATAACCTGTTTAACAGCACCAACATAAATGTAATTGGAGGCTTCTTGCTTGCCAACGTGCAAGAGTGCAGCAGTCAACTCTAACCATGGAATAACATTGTTATATTAATGTGAGATATTTCTTAAAGATATAATATTCTCTTTTCACTACCTTGAGCTGCTCCAGGCCTGAGGTGGCCCAGGGTGGCGCGGAGCAGTGAGGAGGCAGCTGTGTCTGGCCTCTCAGCTTCGGGGGGAATATTCCTGAGGTGACCAGTTTGGTTTGGCCTAAATTGACTGATTGCATAAAATCTTCTCATGCAAAGTAAAAATGCATAATTAACATTATGTCATTTTATTTCATGCAAGTCTGATCTATAAAATGCTTCACAGCACCACCTTGGCCTGAGGGGGCTGATGAGGTCGAGGAGAAGGGGGTGAGGGGGTCAGCTATGGGCGGCAGGTAGTCAGACGCACTGTTGTCGGAGAAAGCTGACTCCAGCACTGGTGACAACTTGAGGTAGAGAAAAATAAGTGATTACTATAGATAAAGCAGCTAATATTTGTTCACGTTCAGCAATCTTTACTAAGATGAGAAATGTTTAAAAAAGTAGAATATAAATAACTGTAAAGTAACTAACCTGTCGACACTTGAAACCTGGTGGAATAACCTGCGTTCTCTTTCTCGTTCCTTGAACACTATATATACAGATATAAAATAGATACAGTGTTCATTATTTATTGATCACATAACAAACCACTACTCTGATAACACTTGCTGCCTCATGCAGTTTTGTTACTGAAGTGGATTCTACTGCAATTACAATGGGCAATTTGACAAAATCACTGCAGCTGTACCTGTACTGAGGCTGGCTCTCAACAAGACTCAACTGTGATGGAGAACAGGGGCTCATTGGGAGTACCAGAGGTTTATTTTGCTTACTGGATCCTATTTTACCACTGCCAAAAACTGCTACCTTAGGAGGATCTGAAAAACACAAACGATTTTCACTGCCATCACTTGCCATTATCAGGCATTAATAATGGAAAATAGTGGTGGAGACAAGTCTGTAATCATATATACTCACAGAGCATTCATTATGCAAAACAGTGCTATCTGATGCTTTAATACTTTCATGTACTGCAGCCTCTTAATCTGATATCTCATTATAAAACACACAATGACTATTTTTTATCATCTTTCAGACATTTCATCAGGGTGAAGACAGTTTAGGGCAGTTCATTATTCTTCTGAACTTGTTTAATGTATTCAATTTCAGCTTTTTACTTATCAAAACTGTCCATTTGTAATGTTTCTGCCTACATCAGCTGTTATCTCTCACCTTTCTTTTCTTTCTTAGCAGCAATCTGGTTGACAATAAACAAAGTCACCAGGTCCATACTACCAGAACTAGTGTCTCCAGGGGAAGCTGGCAGAGCTATTCCCATGGTTTTTAATTTCTGTTGCATTTTTCTCTTTTCAAAGAACTCCTGTGTGAAAAGAACAATACTTTAATATTTAGGTGGACATATGGAAGGAAAACTACACCTGTTATCTTCTTGTAAAAACATAGAAATGTTATTTGGCTGTCACCTTCTGTTTTTTACTGTCGTTCTTCATCACTAACCGGTTCCTGCAATGAGAGTCGTTACAATGTTCACATCATTCACATTATCTAGCTTAGCTTTGCTAACGTTTATGGGCTAACGTTAACATCAGCACGACAGCTTACCTTGAACCCCCAACCCAATTCATTTTCAACGGCTGTAACTATGAAGGAAGCAAAGACTTCAGACACGTCAAAACTTCAGTGAAGTGGAAACAAAACAGCTATGGTTAATGTGAGTGTTAAAGTTCAGAACTAGGTAGCTTCGTGTTTTTGTTAGGTATCTAACCTTAGCTAAAGCTGTTGCTTAGAATATGTAAGGGTGCGAGGCAAAACCACTATCCTTCCTCGCGCCACTTGCAAATGTTCTTAAATGTCTTTTAACTACTTGTGTAAAAGCCGTTAGTGATTAATGTTACTTTAAACAATATATTTTACTGGAAAACACATTGTAGGGTGACATAGTTTTGGCCAAAAAATGAAATTACAAGTAGGATACCGTGTAAATATATAGTACATACAGCATATACAGTCTTTGCAGTAGACACAGCAGAGGTGAATTTGCTCGCGTCCACCACGCAACCAATCCTGTTTTGCCGGGGGCGCGACCAATGAAAAAAGCCGCTGCGAAAGCGTAGGACGGAAATAAATAGCGTCAAGTTAGCAGAAACAAGTACAGTAAGTCAGGAAGTAATGACAATTGAGTTTAAAAATTAAAAGGACAATCTTAACGACGCGGTTCATATATGCTTGTAGTATAGGGGAAGTTGACCTTGAGGCTTTATTTTGACAGATACAACCGGAAGTACAGTAGGCGCTGTTTTTTTTACTTGACACTGGTACTAGAAAGAGCAGGATGTAGCGGTACATGTATCTGGCTCACCTCACATCAATCCAGCCATCAGAAGTCCTTCTCTCTTTTTATACCGACGCGGGGAGTCTGGTTTGGGGGATGGGTGTTGTAAGGATCGTCAGCAGAGACGACTAACGTTTGAAAAATGTCCAATATCCTCGATGCGGCGTCCAAAGTGAAATGGGACCGCACGGCTGCTGCGAAGCGAGCCGTGTTTCTTGCGGCTGCTGCTTACGGTGTCAAAACACTGTACCCCATCATCTGCAATCAGCTCAGCAAAAACAAAGATCCCAGGAATAATGGCCGGGTTTCAAAGGCGGAGAATGGCTCTACTTGTTCGGGAAAAACACAGACAGATGCTGTGGATCACAGGAAGGCATCCCCGGGTGTAAATGCACAATTTTTCAAGCAGATCCTCGAACTTGGTAAAATCCTCTTCCCCAAGCTTGTATCCAAAGAGCTCGGTTTGCTCTCCTTGCACTCGGTGGCGCTGATATCCAGGACGTTTCTGTCTATATACGTGGCGAGCTTGGACGGCAAGATTGTCAAAACGATCGTGGAAAAGGAACCCAAGAGCTTCATCATCCAGCTGATCAAATGGCTCCTCATTGCCATCCCTGCCACGTTCGTCAACAGCGCCATCCGGTACCTGGAGTGCAAACTGGCTCTGGCCTTCCGCACCCGCCTGGTGAACCATGCCTACCGGACCTACTTCACCGACCAGACCTATTACAAAGTTAGCAACATGGACGGGAGACTCGCCAACCCGGACCAGTCTCTCACTGAAGACGTGATGATGTTTTCCCAGTCGGTGGCTCATCTCTATTCTAACCTCACCAAGCCTATTCTGGATGTGATGCTGACCTCTTACACGCTGATCCAGACTGCCAGGTCCAGGGGGGCCAACGCCTCCGGGCCGACCCTGCTAGCCGGGCTGGTGGTCTTTGTCACGGCGAAGGTCCTGCGTGCCTGCTCGCCCAAGTTTGGCAAGCTGGTGGCCGAGGAGGCTCACAGGAAGGGCTACCTGCGCTACGTGCACTCCAGGATCATTGCAAATGCTGAGGAAATAGCTTTCTACAGGGGACACAAGGTATGCAGGGGAGAATGATGACTTACATGGAGGTTGCTTTAATTGTGCAGCAGCAGTGTAAGCCATAATGTGGTGGTAATGACCATGTGCTATTATATGTCTCAGTATAAAAGTCCAACATGACATTTAATCAGTCTGGGAGATAGATGGGTTAAATCATGGCCTGATTAACCTGTTTGGGGTTCCCTTTAAGTCCACTGCACACAGCTTCACTATGTTTTCCCAGGTTTTCTGTTTGTCAGTTGGTATGTGGTACTATGATGAACTTTATTTAGGAAAAAAAGCACCATGTGAGCACTGTGTGAACTAGAAAATAAAGGTGTAGGAACTATATTTTGACAGTGTCCCTCTATGAGACAGGACTCAGGATTCGAGTAAATACAGAACCCAGTTAATATTGTCCTGTTGTGGTGCAGATCCCCAAATAAGTAATTAACTGCCAAAAAGGAATTTGCACAGTTAAACCCCTGGAGGCCTTAACTGTATTAGACAAATTTAAAACTCTATTTATCCTCTATTCCCTCTGTAACACATTTTAGATCATCTGGATGAACCACAACCAGTAAAAAAGTTGATTTAATGTCATAAGATGTGCATATCAGTTAAATCAGATTGATTAGTGCACACACAAACAGGCCAGTTGGGGATAACAGTCCGCATCCTGCACAATGTTCCATCACAGAAAACTCCACGAAGGCAGCATTCTGATAAACACTGTAATACACTGTCCACTGCAGGTGGAGATGCGTCAGCTGCAGAAGTGCTACCGGGCTCTGGCGGAGCAGATGAACCTGATCCTGTCCAAGCGTCTCTGGTACATCATGATCGAGCAGTTCCTCATGAAGTACGTGTGGAGCGGCAGCGGGCTCGTCATGGTGGCCGTGCCGATCATCACGGCCACCGGCTTCGCTGACAACGGTGAGGAGGCCACGAGGGGGCTTCAAACATCTATTCCTAAGAATGAAATCGAGGCCGGGCTATAAAAACACTCTTGATTTTATCACATACACACAAGAAGCTGAAGCCTAACTAGAAAACGAACAAAATCCAACATATCTTTTGATGGTATTTTGTGTGTTGAGGTTGAAGCGCATCTCCAAACCAGCAGCTACTGGTTCCTCCTAAAGCAAGAGCCGTTTAGCATGTGTGAAACAGTAACCGCCTCTCACGCCACCCCTGATGACATTTCAGCAGCATCAGAAATAAAGCTATAACTGAGTCCCTCTTTTTGTTGTACTCCTGGTCCTGCGTCACTGCTGCTATTTAAAGAACTTATTTCCATGATATTGTGGGAATGTGGTGCCAACTGGCTCACATGACTTTCGGTTACAGTAAACCACAGAGCTAAAGTTTTTCGCTTCAGCCAGCATGCCTGTGGTTTGTAGTCAGACCACCTGTCTCACTCTCTGTCCTGTCTTTTGTCTCTCCGTCCGTCCTCTAGAAACAGCAGATGGTCAGACGCAGGTGTTGGTGAGCGAGAGGACGGAGGCTTTCACCACCGCCCGCAACCTCCTGGCCTCGGGAGCCGACGCCATCGAGAGGATCATGTCCTCCTACAAAGAGGTGAGGACGCGGCACGCTGACGTTAATGTAGCATCACTGGGGTGCAGCATCCGTCCTGCCATCCGTCATCCATCCATCCATCCGTCCATCCATCCGTCCATGAGGCTTTCCTTGCCCTGCTTTCTATCAAAAGTTTCGAAAGAAAGATCTCAGTTTTTACAGGAAATACCAAAACAAAAGTCACTGCAGATTCCTTTCATGTGAGAATTTTGCTTCTGTAAACTGAATATCGTCGAGTTATCAGACAAAATAAGGCATTTGAAGGCCTCAACTGGGCTTGATTGCAATGGGAATTTATACACTTTTTTTTTTTTTTTAAGGGTTTCTTTTTACATTTTTGACACATTTTTGCAGCTTTATTTGTTTGTTTATCCACCAGTGCTGTGGGGGAACTATCAAGGGACCTGAAAGACATGGAAGAAAAAGTGAAAATAGATTGTGGATCAGTGCTCCAGTTTTCTGATCAGGGGCTAAACAAGGCCACAGGAAGAGGAAGTTTCCACCATAACGACACATAACTACTCTGATGTGTTACTTCTTGAAATATAAATGATTTGTCAGTAGAGTTTCAGATATTCACATGAAGGACAGATGCGTGAGCGCGGGCGTCTGGATCGTTTCACTGGCCAGCGTTTACTTGGACAAGTGGTCGAACAGATGGGCGGGTGGGATGGATGAGTGCAGGGGCAGAATGATTGACAGACGCGTAACTGTACATCCATCTTCCTCCTTCTATTCTTCCCTCATGTGAAACTTGCCATGTGTGCTCAGGAATGTATTTGAGTCCAGACTGGAAAAAAAAAAAAAGCAAAAGAAAGAAGCCAGTGAATGAAAGGCCTTGTTCACTGAGGGCCAAATCCCTGATCTCTCGTTGCATTTTAATCCAAAAAAAAAAAAAAAAAAATAGCAAGACCCATTCATGCATTCTCTCTCTCAGGCTGCATTTTGAGGTCCATAAGAGGATTTGGCTGCGGCACATTTGTGGTGAAGCTGTACTGCAAGTGCAGCTGGTTTGTACTTGTCTACTTCTGATCATATGCCCACCCTGTGCTTCGGCATGTGTTTTTTTTTTTTTTTTTTTCTCGAGCTATCCTGTAATTCTGTTTCACAAAGTATGCAGCACTCAAGCAAGGGTCAGGTGAAGTCGCATTGCGTGTCTGCGTCTGATTTGTCTGTGACAGTTTTAGCCGCCTGCACTTGTGGTGAAGAGGAGGAATTGAAACTCTTTTCAAAAGTGTAACGGGTTGTTGTCTGCTTCCTTTACTGTGAGTCACCTCTTCTCAAAACCTGTACTAGAATGTGAGCACGCAGGCCCGAACGCACACAAGATCGGTTCCACGGTCAAACAGGAGGCCTAAACTTCACTGCCGTGAAATTTCAGAAAATATGTCCCAAGCGAATTGTTGTATCTCAGTAACATGCAAATCTGCGCGTCTTCTCATTGCAACTGTCTTGTGCAAAACGCTGCCCTGGATGATGCGAGTTTTGGCCTGCATGCAGCTCTGCTCTTTGTGATTGTTGAGTACAGTGAAGGAGCGGCAAGCCCCTGCATGCAAGGCCAAGGGATGTGCGAGTGTGTGTGCAGTTTTTAACAGGCAGCGGGGATGGAGCACATTCCTGAGGCAGTGTGTCCTGCTCACTCGCTGCCTATTTTGATATGAAAGTGCATGGGGGGGGGTTAGGGTTAGATGGTCCTATGACATGTCCTAGCTCATGGTAGTGTGTTACCTATCTTGCAGATTTTATGTTTTCTTCTCCTAGAATTCAGCCCTGCCGTTAGCCTTTTTCTTTTTTTCTTTTTTCTTTTTTCTTTTTTTTTTTTACAGCTTTTTAAAATCATCCCTGAAATTCTACTGAAAATGCATAATGTATAATCCAAGCGCCGGAATCCGATTGTTCCTCTGATATGTGTTCGACTCCATTAGATCTGATTCATCGGAATAGAATTGAAAAATCTTCAATAGGCATCAGTTCCTCAAGATTGAATCCACCTCCTTTCATGTCACTGTAGGTCAGCCAGCAGTGAATCCTGGTGTTAGGCGTCAGGAGCACTTAATGAAACGAGAGGTTAACAAAGAAACACTCAGGGTAGTGTGTGTGTGTGTGTGTGTCTGTGTGTGTGTGTGTGTGTCTGTGTGTGTGTGTGTGTGTCTGTGTGTGTGTGTGTGTGTCTGTGTGTGTGTGTGTGTGTCTGTGTGTGTGTGTGTGTGTCTGTGTGTGTGTGTGTGTGTCTGTGTGTGTGTGTGTGTGTCTGTGTGTGTGTGTGTGTGTGTGTGTGTGTGTCCAGAGCTCCTTCTCTCAGGGCTTAGCCTGGCTGTGAATAATCCTCCATCTGTTGATCTTTCAACCCACACTTCTGTATCTCTTCCCCACTTTCTCACTCACTCCCTCTCTCTGTATGTACTTACACAATTTTTGGGTAAATGAGGAAGGACCATTGTCAGATGTACTGGCCTGATTCATCATGACTTTTATACCCATACACTTACAAGAAGAACCACAGCAGTATTTTCTCGGTCAGTATATATGTTCGCTTCTTTTTGGATCCCTAAGCACTTCTGTTTTGTGCAGGGCTCTTTTTGGTAGTTTTGTGACTCATTATTAACCTACTTGCTCCAGTCGGTTAAGTGTAGCTTAGGTTGTCTTTATGCACATCAAGTGGTACACACAATGTTGAAATACCAACATGTGTTTAAACCATAATTTCAGAAATGTCTAATCACAGCAAAATGCTGTGTTTTCCATATTGTTTAGTCATTTTTTCTCCATGATAACATATTTTTTGGGAAGTGGTGTAAACACACATCAATACAGGCCCGTCACACCTGCCCACTACTCGCCAAGCACTGTCTCCAGTGGTGGAAAGCAACGCCAATGGGCCCTGGACCTTCGCATCAGTTTCCCATAGCAACTCTCTGTAGCTTCCAATCTGTCCTGAAGACGTAGCTGCTTATTATAACCTATTATAACCTCTATTATAAAAACAACTATGGCTGAAGCTCGTGTCAACCCGCAATCCCCACCACCTGCTCCCAGCAATAAACCACATTCAGCGGCAGAGAAAACCTACAACTAGCCCCTTTTCAATAAGTTGTTTCACTTGATAAATGACTGAAACATCTGAATTATAACCAATTAATCTTCTGGTTGTCTACAGTGTTGATTGACTAATGATTTCAGCACTATACTCAGTTCTGTTTTCAACAGCTGTGAAGATATTTTAGGAGATGCAGCAACACGGAAAAGCAGAGTAATAAAGGGACATTTCATATCAAAAGTAACACATTTTATTATTATTTATTATATTATAAATATTATTTTATTTACCTTTTGATATGCTTTTTCACATGAGGAACACAGTCACCCCTCTCCTTTCCTCTTTACACACATTTTGTATAATTTGCTGTTTACTTTCTTCCGTCTTTGAGCCAGCCCCATCTCTGTAGGCCCACATGGTGTCCACGAATTCCCAGAACTGGTGTTTGTTGTTTAATATAATCAAGCTGTGTCAACAGCCTGTATTGTCTCGCTGCAGGGTGCAGCACCAAAGCCAAAGCAGGAGGGTGATTTGTCTTTTGTTTTTTTTTCCATCTTTCCTTATGAGTTTCATTATATTTTAATGCAGAACACCCTCCAGTTGCTTATAAAGATGTTTGTTTTCCTCCTTTCCCCTTTTCCCCTTTTCATCTTCACAATTTTTTGCTGTTAAAATGATTACAATTGCTCTCATACATCTCCTAAACGTAATTAAGATTATTCCCCCTCATATTTTGATATATTCTTAGTATGTGTTTTACATAATTTAGACATTTTTAATATACTTTTTCATTCACTGTGACTCCCAGAAGCCATTACACGTTATGTACAGCAGTTTGTCACATCTGTGTGTGTGCTCACTCTACACACTGTAAACAAGCGGAAGAATAAACAACTTTGAGGGATTATTACTCATCCAGGAGTATACGCTTGGTTACGCAAAGTAAATATAGAAATATAGCCTTAACAACAAAGCCGTAAGTAACATATTACAGCTACAAATATTTGTGTGCATCCATGTGCATATTTATATATACTGTATGGATACATTTGTAATTACTTTCTTTTTATTTAAAAAAAAAACAACAACAGCAGAAGCAGATACGTTGGTTTAAGCAACACATTTGTATGTACATTGTTGCACACACACTTACACTCTCTAACAATGTTTCCCAACTTTCTAAAGCATTTTATTTATTTTTTCTTTATCTGTTAGCTATTTCAACTATTTATCAATTAAGAAAACTATTTCAGCTGGCAATTCTATAATCTTGCTATCTATTCTTTTATCTAACTATTTCAACCATGTATCAATTACTTTTAGCTGATCAAACTAAATGTTTAAACTGTTTAAATGGTTTATTTTTAGCTAGCTTGATCTATTTCAGCCATCTATATTACTTTTAGCTATTTACTTTTATCAAAGTATTTTCACCATATTACTTTTGGCCGGGTTAACTATTTAAACTGTTAACTTCTAGCTACCTTTATCTGTTTCAACATGAATCAATTACTTTTAGCTAACTGTTAAAATGGTTTACTTTAGCTAGCATGTTAGCCTTTTATCCATTACTTTAAGCTATTTCAACATTTCTTTTTCATTTTCATTTTATCTCAGTATTTTCACCCATCTGTTACTTTTAGTTAGGTTAACAATTTAAACTGTTCACTTTTAGTAGCGTTATTTGTTTCAACATTAACGCTAGCTATTTCAACCACATATCCATTACAACCATTTAGCTAACTGTTCAGACCTCTCTGCTTGCCTTCTAACTAGTTTTTGCATACTCTCAATCACAACACATTTGTGTTACAGCTGACTCAATATGTAGATTTTTTTTTTTTTTATTCTCCACATACTCCCAGGTAGCTGCAGAAGTGTCCCTGGTTGAGAATCACTTCTCTAACACACTCACACAGAGACTTATCAGCACATGGCCATGACAGTGACCTATATTGCTGTCTGTCTATTGGGTCATACTAATGTCCCTCTGACATTTATGACCTTTGACCCCTGTGTGTGTTTTGGGACAGGTCACCGAGTTGGCAGGCTACACTGCACGGGTCCACAACATGTTTGAAGTGTTCGAGGACGTTCAGAGGGGTGTTTACAAGCGCTCCTCTCTATCAGCCACAACAGGAGCAGAGAAGAAGAGCAAGCCTGAGATGCACATAGATGGACCACTAGAGATAAAGGGTAGGTCTGTTCTGATGTATACACACACACACACACACACACACACACACGCGCACAAAGGCACCTCCTTCTGTACTTAAATAAACTGAAAGAGAGAAACAGGTAGTTACCAGTCCCATCCTCTGCACGCTCCTGGCTACTGTTGCTATGTTGGGAAAACTTTTACCACTGCCACTGTCTGCAGTGAGGAACCAGTTGGAGGCTGTGTAGTCAGTATTACATCCATGGTTTATTGTCAACCCCTCCCCCCACTATTTTGTCCATATCTTTAATTATCTAAAGTTTAAATTAGAAAAACATTAGCACTGAGTTAAAGGATAATACGTGAGTTAGGTTAAGATTCAGTTAGATCTCCAGAGCATCTCATTGTATTGGTTTTCTAGGAATCACTCCTCTTTGCTCTGCACTCCTATTGCACACTGACTACAGAGTAAAATTTCACATTGCATAAATATCCTTGTGTAAACATCATTTGACCCCAGAATGAAGCTCCTGTGAGAGAGCACTGCTAAGCGAAGAGATAAGTGAAGTGATAAAGAGGGATTTTTCTTTTTTAACCCCATAATTCCTGCTATGTAGGTATTATCCCATCCATATCCATGCTTATGCCTTGACTGAGCGAGTCTAATCCTTTATTTCCACTCTAATACACAGTCGCTCTATATTTCTGACCCTTCTTATCGAATTCTCTCTCTCTTGTGTCTCCAGGTGAAGTTATAGATGTGGACAAAGGCATCGTGTGTGAAAACGTACCAATAATCACGCCCAATGGGGACGTAGTAGTGTCATGCTTGAATTTTAAGGTGAGACAGCTCTACTCTATAGTTTTCTACTGTCTTTTCTGTCCATTGTATTCTACCATTTAGCTTGTATTGTACAGTGTTGCTCTGCTGTAGTCTTCTTAGTTAAATGGACCAACATATGAAAAAGAAACAGAATGCTCCTTTGTTCCAACAGCCACACCAAACAAATATGAGCTGATATATTTGCACACGCTCAAGAGTTTCAGCTTTTCTCTGAACCCCTTCTCCATCATCAAACCCCCGGAGGATTTTGGTCTAGGTGCCGTGTATTACCGTTTTAAGAACAATCCTCTGTGGTCTCATTAGGAAAGAGATGTATCCTTTGTGTGTCAGCGTATCACTGCCCTCAGGCTGTTGACTGCTTCAGCAAGCGGAAAAGGATGTTGTGGTACTTAAACTTACACAACAGTAATGAAATATAGTCACATGTTACTTTCCAAACACTTCAGATGCTATATTACGATATCAGTACCCTTTCCTGTACTCATGTAACACTCTCACTGTGTGTACTGCCCCATCTCTCCTGAGGGGCTGCTCCGTAGATATAAAAAAAGAAAATGCTAAAAACATTTAGCATTTTTATCCATGCTGCATTCAGGGCATGTTCTGCTTATTTGCTTCTCAAACTTCAGAGAAGCTGAGGGTCTCCTGATCCCATGACCCTGTAATTGAGTTATCTTGAGTTCATTGCTAATAATTTGACAAAACCCTGGATTCTTCAAAGCTGGCTCTAAAGTTTATTTAAAACCGTTGTCAGAGAAACATGACTATGAGCTCAAAACTACAACACTGTGAGTTTATTCACAGTTACTTGGAACATGACAGACCTCAAATTATTCTTTTGCTAAGCTGCACCAAATGAGAATTCAGTTTAGCTGGCTAACACAATCTTAAGCCTGGATTAGTTAAACCTTGCATCAGGTAGCCATCCGCTTCATGACTTTCTTTTACCATCTGCAGAGTAATGGTTGTGGCTTCAGCGAAGGCCCTGACCTCAATTTCAAAATAAATGAATAAACAAAAGAGTGTCCTGAGGGAGTATTGCTTTCAAACTGCATGCTAACAGACGTCTGCACGAACTGTACCGAGCAGCATCGAGGTCAGTATATCTGAGCGCCCTGCTGACGTTGATTTAGTCTGTAGATATCAGACATACTGTACATGTTTGCGCTGTGCCTGCACTCACAGGTTTAAGACTTTACACAAATATCAAACATCAAAGGTTCAGTCACTATTTTTGCAGGATGTACATACGAGACAGAGAGACAGTGACTTATCACTGGTGAGATAGCTAAGATAAAGCCGGCCAAACCTAAAACAAGCATCACAAATGATTTACTAATGACATACTTTTTTTATTATTACCCACAATATTTGGACTACTATTACGTCTTAACTTATAAAGGTATGATACATGTAGGTGTGTGCAGTGATCGGTCACTCTAGCCTCCTCTGGCTAGGATGTTTCTGTATAGTTAATAATAATAAATTGTACCCACATTTGTAGAGAAGTTGTTTATATTTCTCACTGTTAAATATTGTCTTCAACCTATTTTGACGCCTTTATTTTTATTCCATTTTAATGGTTCAGGTAGATGTATTGAGAGAAATATACGAGGCAATTATGATACTGTGACTTTCACTTTCATTTACTCTATTTTGGTGCAGTGACGCTCCATTCAGAACATAATTATTTCTTCAATATTTTTTTTACTTTGCTGTGTCTTTTTTGTTGCCTCTGTAGTTGAAGAGACAGAAATCAGTATATGATGCGCTGCTGTCCTGTTAGCCTGTTAGCTGCTGGTGAACTAGAGGCATTTAGTGACATCTGGCTTCCGGCTGTAGCTCGAGTGTAGTTCACTTTCAGAGACGGTGAACAAACGTATGTATACATATGTAATACCGTGTATTCTGATAAAAAGCAAAGATCTCTGTGGAGTCTTCTCGTGTTTACATTTCAGATCTCCTACATGTAATGTGAAGTAGACGTACGCTGCACATCAAAAGCCGCACACCCACCGATACTCTCTCCACAGCTTTATATCCTAATGACTTGTTTGACATGTAACGATACTGACGGCCGGCTCCACTCCGGGAGGATTAATAATTTGTCTCTTCATTCCAGGTAGAGGAGGGGATGCACTTATTAATCACGGGGCCGAACGGCTGTGGGAAAAGCTCTCTGTTCAGGATCCTCAGCGGCCTGTGGCCTGTTTACGGCGGCCGACTACACAAACCCTCTCCTCAATATATGTTCTACATCCCCCAGAGGTACACACGCAAAACACACATCCAATGCTACAATATCACACAGCAACAACTGTAGGGTTTGACCCATTGTGCCGGTGAACCCTACCAGTAACTTAATCCATTGTAACAGGATCTTTGTGTGGGTGAGAGTGGCGGGCAAAGAGAAACCAGAGCACTGGCCACAGTGAAATATTTACCACCCAGACAAGGCTTGAAATACTTTCGGCTACAACATTTACTCCCATATACTTATTAGAGCACAAAAAATGTAGGTTTAAAGACCACAAGGTGAAACTATCTGAGGCTTCTGTGTATCTTCTCCTGTATATCAGTGTTTTCCCATTAGCATTGTAGCCACTTGACAGTAAGTATCATCAGCGCACTGTCTTCATAAAGTGTGACTGAGCGTGGATAACAAAATCAGCCGTCATTACCGGAATTATCCAAAGTTTAACTACTGACCCTCCAGGAGTAAAAATGCCCTGACATGTCATGGGCACATAGACCGATAATATCAAAATATATCATTAACCCGCTGTCATTTAGAAGGCCGCAACTAACGGTAACGAAGTCGATCATTATGAATGAATCTGCAGATCATTTTCTCAATTAATTGTTGTGTCTTTGTTAGGAGAAAGTGGGGGGAAAAATGCCCCTCACAATTTCCGCAAACCCATGTTAACATATTCACATGTGCTATTGTCTATCCGAACCGTTTATTTTCATCTGTGACAAACAACAGCATCAGATGGTTACATTTGAGAAGCTGAGGCCAGTGTAATTTTGACATTTTCGCTTGAGCATTTACTGAAACCATGAAGTGATTGTCTGAAATGTTGCTCAGTTAAGCGTTTCAGCTCTAGTTGTTTATACAGCAAGATTTATTTTTAGAAACTGCCCATTCCGCAGGGATTTTTGTTAGTTTTTATGTATTTAAGTTCAATTTAAGACGATCCTCCAAAAATTCAATAGTAGATTGACTGTAGTCCTTAAACTGACCTGAAGTAAAGACAGACCTTCAAGCGTAATCCTACCCAGGGCTGCGTAGAGCTGCAGACTCAGCCGACTCCCTCCTGCAGGGCGGTAAATATTTTATACGTGGGATGAGACGGCCACCTGGCAGCTGTAACAGAATCCAATGCACTATCAACAATAGAAACAGCACAAGCATAATGGATGTCTTTCCCTTTTAGCTTTTTGTTCTTTAAGTGTGTAAAAAAAAAAAAAAAGAAAAAAAAAGTGGCCCGTTGTGCACGCACGCCCTCTTGTTCTTTAGAGTCAGGAGCACTTAATGAAACGAGAGGTTAACAAAGAAACACTCAGGGTAATGTTTGTGTTTGTGTTTGTGTGTGTGTGTGTCTGTGTGTGTGTGTGTCTGTGTGTGTGTGTGTGTGTGTGTGTGTGTGTGTGTGTGTGTGTGCGTGTGTGTGTGCGTGTGTGTGTGTGTGTGTGTGTGTGTGTGTGTGTGTGTGGGTCTCCAGGCCCTACATGTCCATGGGTTCACTGCGGGACCAGGTGATCTACCCAGACTCTGTGGAGGACATGGCCGCCAGAGGCATGCGTGACAAGGACCTGGAGGCCATCCTGGACATAGTCAACCTCAACCATATTGTCACCAGAGAGGGAGGTAGGATAAGTAACAGAAACAGTTCCACACAGATGTGAGCTGTGTGTTTACAAGCGACAGGCTGAAGGAAACTGCACAGAAGCTTAAAATAGGGAACGTTTTCTGACAACTGAACTGAACAAAGTACACTAAATAACTATCATTAAATACAAAATAAACAAAATCACTATCTCCAGTATAAAATAAACAAAATAACTATCAGATAAAACAACAATCACCAAAATAAAATACACAAATGAACCCATCACCAAAATAAAACAACAAAGTGTCCATTAGCTATTATAAATCCAAGTCTAATTCAATACTATTGAAATAATCATCTTTTAGTGTTACAGGTTATAAAATGCGACTCAAATCCTTTAAAGTTTGTAAACTGTATCTGCAGCTGTCCTGGTGTTTTGTGGTAAACAGAGCGGGTTCTGCATGTGTACCAGCCAGAAGCCTGACCTTGTTGCACTCAGGTATTATTTGTGTTGCCCAAACTTGAGTGTGCGGCTAATTGGCAGCCGCCCTTCTCTCATTGACAAACAAACAGGCCTATTGTTGAGAACCAACTGCTGTATGAAGCTTAGAGCTGCAAGAGGGCTTAATGTATCAATGGCTGCACTGTGAAAACATTGAGAAGTTTCTTCACCACACGCGCAGATGAATTGGCGCATATGCAGTCACTGACGTCGGCACGTATGCGATATAACCCGACTGCCAGGGATCGTGTGTTTCATCTTTAGAAAGGTCACACACTGTCCTGCAGGAGAGAGCAATCATCAGTGCTGTTCCCCTCCTTTGTGATGGCTGTTCGTTAAATAGGTCCGTGCGCTTTCTCTCCGTTGCACTGAAAGGTTTTAATGCCCTACGTGCTGACATCTCCATCCTGATATGGATGCAACTGGAAAACATTTTTGCTCTCATTTATCTTTAGTCCCAAAAAAATCACCATCTTTATACAACATCTTGGCAGCAAGCGATCTCAAGGTTAACGTCTTCTTCTCGTCCAGGCTGGGATGCCGAGCTGGACTGGAAGGACGTGCTGTCAGGAGGCGAGAAGCAGAGGATGGGCATGGCTCGCATGTTTTACCAAAAGTAAGGAGAAGCAGCGTCATTGTTGTTTAGCCATCATACACTCGACATACAACAGACCTGGAGGGTAAACTGCCAACTTCATCTCTGGCACCGTTGGTCGGCCCACTGCTTGTATTTTAGCTATGTTATTTTTCTAACTTTTCGTGTGTGCACATGAGCTGACTACATGAGCAGTCTCATTATTTACCAGCTGTGTGGAGAGCAATTATCAAAAACTTTTCCTTTGTGTGTGTCAGGCCTAAATATGCCCTGTTGGATGAGTGCACCAGTGCTGTGAGCATCGACGTGGAGGGAAAGATTTTCCAGGCTGCCAAGGACGCCGGTATCTCTCTGCTCTCCATCACACACAGACCTTCCCTGTGGTAAGACACAGAAAAAGTTCTAGTTTATTCAGTAAAAAAAAATATATATATATATATATATCTATATATATTTGATATATCTGATGAACCCAAGTTTTTTTTTTCCACTCTCTCACTTCAAATCCTTCCCCCTCCACCTCCAGGAAGTACCACACCCACCTGCTGCAGTTCGACGGGGAGGGAGGCTGGCGCTTCGAGCAGCTGGACACGGCGACACGCCTCACCCTCACAGAGGAGAAGCAGCGGCTGGAGGCCCAGCTGGCCGGCATTCCCGAGATGCAGCATCGCCTCAACGAGCTCTGCAAGATCCTGGGAGACGACTCTGTCCTCAAAACTGCTGAGGAGTGAGAGAGAGAGAGAGAGAGAGAGACGGGGGAGAGAGACGGGGGAGGGAGGGAGGGAGGGAGGGAGGGAAGAGGCCCAGAGGGGGAAAGAGACAAGTGGGAAAGAGCAGAGAAGAGGTGGGGGAGAGAGTGTGGGAGACGGAAGAGGCAATGAAAGAAAAAGAAATCCGGAGGGGATTTGTTAGTATTTTTTCAGGCTCTGTTTTTTTTTTGTTTTTTTTTTAGCTTGTGTAGATTTTTTTCTTTTGCTCCGAGCCTCTTCCGTTAAAGCAGGAGAGCTTTTAATGCCAACTAGTCTTTCAGCTCTCCTCTCTCCTCTCCCTCTTCTTTTAATCGTCCCTTTGCCCTGCTGCACTCTTCAGAGGTGGAGGGGGAGCATGAAGTGGATTCACAAGTATCCCCCCCCCCCAAACCCCCCACCCCGCTTGCAGATCGACTGCATACTCAGCTGTAGATTTTAATGTTTGGTTTTAGCACATTATATCAACTTTGAGATCGTTCTGCCACAGTTTCAAAGTGGCAGAAATCTAAATTAACCAAGAGAACGAATTTGTTAGTTTGTTTTATAGCACTTTACTCTGCTTCTAGAGGGCTGTTTCTGTTTGTCATGCTAGCTCACAGTGATAGCTGCATCCTAGCTGGAAAACTTTTAATATAGAGCCGCTAACTGATGCCCAAAACAGTATTCCAAACCCAGTCTGCTGGGCTCTGCAGGATCCACTTTTGTTTTTACCTCCATAATTCAGCAGTAGATTTTAGCTTTTACTGAACTTAACATGACCTCTTTGTTTGGAAAGGTCAAAAGAGACTATTTTTCACAATATGCCTTTGCTTGGTTTGTGTATATAGTAGTAGTACAATCCCTTTCTTTATACCTCATCTTAACCCATTTTAGGTTATGGCAGACCCTTGAACCACTGGTACAGGCTCAGTTTCAGATTTACACAAGGCTAGCAGGAAAAAAAAGAGCCAGAGGTCTATTATTAGAGCAATTAGTGACGCAGGTCTGACCCCAAAACTATAGGTTTCTGGTTTATTGAACAAATACAATGAGCTGAAGAGGCCCTCTTCAAAGGAAGAGGAGCAGGAACAAGCCGGTAGTCTGGTCTGGTCTGTGAACAGTCACACGTATAAAGTATACTGCACATGGGCGAGCAGGTAGCCATGTAAGTAAGACAGTGTAACTGTCAGATACATGTACACACTCCTGTCGAAGCCCCCACCCCCCTGTGTGTTGACACAAAACACACTCGTGTGTCTGCTGCGTGTCAGGTGCCTGCTGGGACTCTGCTACGTCAGCAGTGCTGCTCCTGTTTAGATGCATGAAGGTACTGGACAATGAGCTGATACCCTCTGTCAATCAGCAGCTTATGCAGTGACAGGAGACTTCATATACATTTATTAATGACGTAAGAAATGCTTTATTTCTTACCTTTCTGCAATTGAGGCTGATAATCATTTAATATCAAGTGTGTGTTTCAGATTAAATTCAACATATGATTATGTTATACTATATGAGGCCTTATTGGGTTCTACCTAATTTGCATATTTCATAATTGGGCTCATGCACAGTAGTAGAAAGCTTAGAGGTCAGACTTATTTATAGATTGAAGACTTGTGGCTCAAAGACACTTCAGCAGGTTGTTCGCCTCTCGACTAATGGCTGCCCCGAGGTCCTGGTGGTTTTCCAGTTGCTGTCAAAGTTAAGATTGTTTTTCCTCATTTAGCCTCCATGTTTGTTACCAGCAACTTACCTGAAGTTGTGATACTGTGAAATTAGTGATTTGTTATGCTAATATCATGTTTTTGTTCTTATGGAAAAACACTGTGGTGATTCTAAACTGTGGCAGTGGCTGCTTATGTTTATAGGGTGTTATTTGATTTCTTTGTGTGGTTCAGACCTGTGTACATGCTCGCCGTGTCCTGCACAAAGAGGCCGAGGAGCAGTGAACCAGGCTGACTTTTGCCCCTCGGTTAAACAGGATAGGAGATCATGTGTTCCCACTGTGGCATTCATTTACAGTATAGCCTTCAGATTTCACCATAGACACATGAAGTTTTATACGTGGCCTCATTCGTCCTGGGCCTCAGGTTTTGCCAAGTGACACAAAATGTCAGCACATTTTAATGGCAGAAAAAACAACCAGAGACATTATTTCATTCTGTAAAAAAAAAAAAAAAATGTGTTGACCCACATTGGAAACATGGCTATAGTGAAATCTGTTTGTATTTTGTACGAATGGTCCAGATGTTGCACAAACAGGGGGAACACAGGACTTCGTCTTACTCTCACACTGTACTGCATACAGGACTTGAGTGACTAGTGCAGTGTAATAATATTAAGTCATCTCACTGGTTAATAAGCCACTGTTTTGTTAACTATTTTGGACACTGACATAACAATGTCGGTGTTGACTTCTTGTTGAAGAGAATGGACAATCAGTCGCATCATCAGCAGAATACAAACAACACCATGGCTTGTTATTATCATTCAAACAAATGGGCAAATGAGTGCTAATTTTAGGTCTATAACTACACCTGCATTATCTAATTTGGTATGGAACTTACTATGTATGTTGTTTCTTATGCATGTCAAAGTTTAATGACTCCCTCAGGCCTTTTTCTTCAGCCTGAGCTCCGACTGAATCCAAGATGTCTACAAGTGCCACATCTTTCCTCCATTGAGATTTTAAACCTTTGAAACCTCCTTCTTTGGCTTTTAGAGGACAGTTCAAGAAAAGGATTATAGAGCATTTGAATGCAGCCTTGGTCCGCTCAGGAGGATGGCTGCCAGGTTACCGAAGGACAAACTTCGGTTTTTGTTCTCCCCTAAATGTGACTGAGGAAGAAAGACAATGACTGACACGTTCTTTTAATATCTAAAGGAATGATAACTGTTATGCTCTGTGATGGCCTTGTAATACTAAAGAATAATTATGCTTTCATTTGGTACACATGGGCATTACTGTAGGTCTTCAAAATGGCATGGCAAGCCTTTTAAACAGCATTACACACATGAGTTTCTGACCTGAAATACATAATCTTTCCGTGCCGTCCGTCAGACTCTGTTGACAGGAGGGCAGACGAGCCGCTGAATGACACAGGGTCTGCGACGTGACACTGGAACATGAGTAGTAGTGCCTGAAATACGTAGGCGCGATCGATAGGCAGTAATTAGCCATTTTTTCATCTGGGAGAAGAAATGATGAGGTGCCTTCTCGTTAGCAGGCCCCGGCACAGATCTTACGTTTCTCCAGGGAAGATCAGGCAAAAGGGTGGACAGTGGGTGCTACACCCTTATCCGTGGGTGAGGTAGTAGGAGACAACTACTATACTATATCACATAACATGGCACCTCATCATTTTTTTTTTTTTTATCCCCGTAGGAATCAAGTTAATATAGCTTACCAGTGAGATGAGGCCCGCTGTGGCCTACTACGCTGTATGACCCTGCTTTATACAATGATGACATCCTTACTAACGAAACTTTGACACTGAAACGTTCATCCTATCATCCCTTCTGTCAGTAAGAGATTGAATGTATCCATCATGTATGATAAAGTAAGTCCTAAGGTTACGAAGACAATGAATACATGTGGTCTGGTCATACACGTTTCTGTCATGGTTTGACGGTTGAGGATTTTATAATTGTGTTTATAGTGCATGTAATGTTATTTTATTAGAGCCACTTTGTGGTTTTTAAAGTGGGATTTGCTGTACATGTGGTGTGTGAAGTGGGATTATGGGAAAGGAAAAATGCTCAGTGAAAGGTTGAGAGTTTTTGAGACTGTCCCGGAAAAAACACAGAAACAACATGCAGTGATTCTCCCTCAAAGCCAGGGGCTTCTACGGTTTGGACTCCTAATCCATAGTTACTTTAAACAGAGCTCTGTTTGCAATCAAAACTCAGTTACATATAACGATTTTATATTTTGAATTCCTGTAACATTAGCCCAGACCTCCTTCATTGAGATCTCATCGTGCATGTGTAGGAATCTGTATTCTTTAACCTTAGAATCAAGGGAGGTACATCGACATAAAGGTCATCTGTTTCGAAAATCATGTGCTAAGGTCACTTTAAGTTGAAAGATGAAGATGTATTTTCTTGTAAATAAAACAATACATTGCAACCTTTAAGAGTGGGTCATCTTGTGTTCATTTCCCCAACATTAATTCACCATTTCCCTGCAAATGTGCATCTAAAATAGAATTGTTTATCACTGATTTATTTATTTTTTTTTCAATGCTGAGAAGTGAATGTCATGTCTTTTTTAGCTAGAGTAAGTGGTTGATGTGCTCTTACCAGCTCTTTTAATGTAATAAAGGGTGTAGTAGTTCTATTGATCTCGACTTGAAGCATCCTAGAGGTAAAGCATAAACCCATCTCAGCAAGCTAAAGGCCATGCCACCACTTCACTGTGGGGTATTTAGGCTGATAATGTCAGGCCCGGTCCAAAAACACAGCACGATTCAGATTCGAGGCGGTATTTCTGTCCGATTCGCAAGACTGGGAGCAAACTCAAGCTACTGTAGCTGATGCAGAGCGCAGAGGCCTGCAGCTGCTTTTTGCCTGATGACCTCTTACTGGCTCTGTACTATTTTTGTTGCACAAGACTGAGCAGGAACTGTGTCCAAGTTGGAAAGCAAGTACTCGTAAGCAGGGTTTCACTACATAGTGCATTCAAACTAGAAACATGAAGCAGATCCAGAAACAGCTAAAAGAAACATCAAGATTGACTTGTCTTGTGTCATTTATTGTTTGTACAAAAGTCTGTTGATTTTTTGTATGCTAACTGCAACAATGACAAGTAGCATAGCTCACACTATGCATGTGGGATTGGGACACAGCAGGCGAGTCTGTGAAGCCATCTGCTGGCAGAATCAAGTGACACATCACTTCAGCTTCACCAGTGCAATAATATGAGTTGATCACAAGGTGGCAGCATGCCCAAGAAGCCATATTCATTTATTGACCCTCATCTTCTAAACCAACCTGATGTGTGTCATCTTATGAAATACAATATGGCTTATTATGAAAATATGAGAATGAGAGGAATGCAGTCAAACTACACACAGACAGAATAGAAATTGGTTTCATTTGAATGGACTTTAACGATTGTAAATTCATATTTAAGGCTTCAAAGGCTGGGGGGGGGGGGGGGGGGGGGGGCTGGACCTGCTGTCCATCAGTCTGTGATGTAAAATAGGCTGGTGTCAGGCTGGTGAGAGTCTGATTGAGCCTTTCTCAATATATTTTTTCAAATAACTTTATTCAACAAATTCAGAGGAGACAAGAGTCAGCATACAGCTGGCAGTTTATTAGGTACATACAGGTTAAAGTAATGCAGTCTAATATAATAGATCCTGCCTCCATCAAGATTGACTCAACATTATATAACGTTATGTGTTACAAAATTATTTTTATTATCATTATTGTCATTAATTTTAGTAGTAGTAGTAGTAGTCTGGTTATACATTTTCTCCACATGTCCTCCTGGGCTGTGGTTGAGGTTGCCCCCCTGTCTGGATTGGTACAGCTCAGGAGGAGGAGTCTGGTTACGTCCTCCGTCTTGGGAATCAACACGCCGAGCGGAGTCCTGGCTCGTCCACACTCACACACACACACACACATACATACACGGTGCACCCAGCCCGGGCAGGAGGCTGAGACGATGCCTCTGTTGAGGTGACCACCACAGGACTATGGCAGATGAATAAAATCAGCTCCTAATTAGCTCCTCCATCTGATGAAAACATGGCTCCTGTTTCCAAGCGGGTGAGGAGGAGGTGAGAGCGGCGGCGGTGGAGGCTCAAGATAGAAGCGCTTTCCTTGGAGGTGTAGGGAGGAAGGGAGGGGGGGCCGGCGGCGCTCTCTTGTCTCGTAAGAGGATAAAGAGAAAAGGGAAATCGAGCTATTTTTAAGCGGACTGTTTGGGCCGGACCCCGGTGACACCATGACCAGCGGGCCGGATGAGAGCACGGTGCGCGTCGCCCTGAGGTAAGGATGCAGCGGCGGACCCTCCTCTCCGAAGATGCTCTTGCGACACACCTGCTTTAACCGTGCACATGTTATTCCTGCTGCTTAACCGTCCACCTTTAGCCAACATGTAAACATACACCTGGAGCTAGTGCATCCATTCTTATGTCTGTATCCTCAAACCCTTCCAAAACGACACCCCTCCTTCCCTATATGTGCTTTTATTTTGAAGCTATTCAGCAACATACACATTGTCTTCTCCACACCCATGCCAGGAGCTGCAGTTTATAGCTTATTGTCTCATTCAAACAACAAATATAGACCACTGGCCCGAGATTACATGACCTTCTTTTGTTAATACCTGCACTGCATGTACATGCTGTGTAGTGGATTTATGAATGAAGATCTGCGTGTGGATTAGGCCGAGGAAAAGCCTGTTACTATTCCCATACATTGTTTCTCCTGCACAACACGCACTGGCTGATGGTCTGTTTTTAAACGGCGACACCTTATGTGATATTTTTAATAGCATACAATGCTTTGGTAGAAGTGTATTTTGTGTTGTGTTTCAGGCAGTGTGTGTTTGCTGTATCATGCTGATGTGACCTTTGTCCCCTGGGCCAATCCATGCTGTCACTAAGATAGTCACCGTCTGGTCACCAGTTATATCAGTGCTTCCCAGAAGTGTTTCTGCCATCTATGTGCGTGTGTCGCCCAGACGCAATCCAAACAATAAGATACATAACAAATCAATATAGACGTCAATAGGCTGATGATAGGGTGGCAGCTGTGATCCAGTGTGTGCGTGTGTTTGTGTGTGTTAAGGAAACGCAATCTGAAACATCATGTGAACTGGATCAGTGGAAGAGAGAGGACAAAAGCGTGTTCCTCTCATGTTTCTCTTCTTTCTGCCTAGCTTCACTTTGTTATTGTGCGTTCAGACTTTGACCCAGCACTCTGTTTACTGAGCCAACTCAGTTTACTATCCCGTCCCTGTCCTTTATGGATAGTACATATTCTGTATCAGGCTATTTCTGGCTGTTCAGCGCTGTGCAGTGTCATTATTAAGATTCAGACAGCAAGATTACATTTGTCTGGTTTCCTCTGTAATGTAATATGGGCAGAGATGTGCCGCCTTAGTTTACTGTAGACGAGGTTTAAAGATGTTTTCAGCTTCGCAAGACACTAAAGAACATATAGGCACACTAATAATATGGCAAGTCAAGTCACAGACAGGTGTTTAACTACCTGCTATTGTATCTTCTTTAAGAGCTCAGGCTTCATTCATTATTTGGTGAGCTCTGTGTTTCCATCTTTAGACCTATTGACAATCAGCTGACTATTCATTGGTTCATTCATCCATTCATTCTCTGAATCACTTGTCTTTCTTTCTTTCTTTCTTTCTTTCTTTCTTTCTTTCTTTCTTTCTTTCTTTCTTTCTTCACCCTTTCATGTAAAGCGAGCGTTTGAATTTATAAGTAACTAGAAGGGCAGTCAGAGAGAGCAGGCCAGTGTCATATCAATTCATCTTTGTATGATCCAGATCTGCATAATCCTGCTGACAAATAAATAAACAAACCAACAAACTGACACAGGTGAAAACATAACCTCCATGGTGGAGGTGACTACACATGAACCGACATTGTCTCCGTTGACATGTTGTAGGCACAAATTAGGTAAAGATTATGTCCCTTCCTCTGTGTGGCAGGTGTATGAATTTTGGAAAGATTTTTTAATGTTAAGATTTGTTGAAGCTAAAAGTAAAAACTAGGTAGTTTATGGGATTGGGGACAAAGCTAGAAGCAATACTTGGTTCACAGTGAAAAAGATCTGATTGTTGAAGAGTGTGCACTTCAAAGCCTCTGAGCTTTGAAGTGCACACTCTTCTGAGGTCAGCTGTGGGATCTGAAAATGCTTTGTCACTAATCTCTCTCTTTTTCTTTGACACACACACACACACACACACACACACACACACACACACACACACACACACACACACACACACACACACACACACACACATCATTCAGTGAAAAGGAAATGTGCAGGTCCATGTCCTGTCTCTGAGGCTCTCCTGACTTTACCTGCAATCTCCCTGTATCACATCAGGCTCCTTTCTCTGTGTTAAATACATTTTTAAATTCAAGTAGGCTGTGTTAGCATGAAAAAATATAGGACTTTCTTCACAGGAGGTTCACTCTCTCTCCTGTCAGCAGCCATTTCTTAGCCCAAAATCTAGTGCTAAGGTAAAGCACCAAACAGAAGACAGACGGAGTTAGCAGCTAGCTGTTAGCGGAGCATTTACAGCTTAAGAGCCAGATAACAGAGCTAAAACAAGAGTAGATTTTTGACCAAAATTCTGAAGGTAGCTAATGCTAATGCTGCTTTACATCTGCTGAATGTGGAGTAGGTTTGCTAACAAGTTAGCCGTAGCAACTTTATAATACTCTCTATAATACACCAAAATTACTGCGTTCACTCTTTCATCCCAAGTGCAGAGTAGCCGTGTAGCAATGTCTCTGGTTTTACCGCACTGTGCTGGGCAGGTGACAGGTCTGTTTAATGTGTCCATATACGTTAGCGTGTTCACCTGGGTTTTGTTTTTACATGACTGCCAATAGGAGCTGGAGCCGATTAACACCTGCGTCTACTGCAGAGTCATTTGACCTGGGAGTGAATGCTGATTGTTCCCTTTTCCTTTGCCAACAAAAGCCAGATGTCAGCGAGTCTTAGTGTGTTTTTTGACGAGTGGAAAAGAGGCTTAAGTTAATAATTAGTAAATGTTGTGTTTAGAGCTTGTTGTACTGCCTGACAAGTGGCCAAAAATCAATTTAGTTTAAGTTTAAATGACTTTAACTTTAAGTTATATCTCATATGATACAATAATTATGTCCACCCACAAATATACAACATGAATATGAGCTCCAAAAACCACTGGAGAATGCCATTAAACACGAGTTTACTGACAACAAAGATGAAAGAAATAAAAAAGAGTCAAAATGGTTTCTTGTGTTGTTACAGTGAATCTCCTAAGGCACCCTCCTGTGTTAGCTAATGTGATTTCTGTTTTGCTGATGCAGCTGGAGCCTTAAGACAAAATGTGTCATCATTAACTGAAAGTACAATTTACTTTCACTTAATAATCTCTAGAAGACACACCTTTTCATCTGCCTCTTAATCACTGACTTTGTGTATTTGAACATCAAACTACAGCTTCATGTTGGTGTTTTCAGCTCGATTAATCACCGTGGCAACATTCTAATTATTTTGGAGCTTCATAGTTGTGGTGAAGCTGAACTTAGAAGCATCTTAGAGGTTTTGACTGGCAGCCCCCCCACCCCCTCCACCCCCACCACCACTCTGTAATAGTTTAGTTAGCCGTGTGTGTCTGCGTGTGTGTGTGTGTGTGTGTGTGTGTGTGTGTGTGTGTTTGCAGTAAGCAGCCATCAGGTTGCCAACCAGTACCTGCCTCAGCCTGCGAGGCTAATGCTGTCTGTTAGCAAGTTCCTAATCCCCCACACCAACAGGTCCTCAGTGATGAAATGCTTCTTTATCATCCTAATTCTGTCTCCTTTTTTGAGGTAGCAGGCAGAACAAGAAAGAAAGGGATCTTGAGCCTGAACAGGGGGAGTTATTTTTTTTTTGTTTTGTCATTTTGATTTATTACTGGAAAGATGATGTAACGTAAAAGTGTATTTGCTCTTTAGAAATGCACTTGCCTCTTCTTCAGTGAGATTATACTTTATTAAACATTAGACGCCTGTGCTGTGCTGTCATGTGTGGTTTTAAAGGTTTTTCTTCACACCTGACAGCGTACGGATGGGGCACTTCTGCAGCACATTGTTGGATGATTCAGCAAACACGTACACTGTTTGCTGGGTTGTCCTCTGTGTGAATGTATTTGTGTGTGTGTTCATTTTCTTATGTAACACCGAATCTTTGTATGTGTGCGTTTTCGCTTACAGGCATACACACGTGTCTCTTGTCCCATATGCTATGAAAAAGAAAAATGGGAAGTTAATGATTTATTCAAGAATTAACTCGTGATACTGACTTTGCTTTAAGGAGCTGGTCATGTCACTTATTCGTTTGTCAGTTTCCTTGAAGTGCAGCTTTAATAATTCAGAGCTGGCAGCCAGGATTAGCCTGTGGCAAGGATTCAGGTTTCGTACTGCTGAATTTAGAGGAAGAGAGTTTCTTTCTCTTTAATTAGATGGGATAGAGTGAGTGCTTTTGAAAATGGTAAACTGGTTATGTTTTAATCCTCATTTAAATGCTTGAATTTGATAACATTTAGAGTATATGGCAGTATCGATAAATGTGATTTGACTCATTGACACATTAAAGGGACTAAGAAATGAAACAATTAGTCATTTAAATCATATTTTCAAGCAATAATGACAAAAACATATATGTATTCCAGCTTCTCAGATGTAAAGATTTGCTGCTTTTCTTTGTCTCATGTGATAGCAAACTGAGCACCTTTGGGTTGTGAACTGCATTCTGGAAAATTTTGATGGACTTTGTCAGTATTTTTCTGATATTTTATTGAGAAAGTAATCTAAATAATCTTAATTGTTCGTGGCGGCCATAAATGGAAGGTGGAAACATTACGGCAAAATCATCTCATTGTATATTTCGTCTGAGTGAAGTCTTTATATTTTTTATGAAGTTTGGATTTAAAAAATCGAATCAGAATGAATTTGTCAAATGCAAAGTAGACCTAAAAACCCCCCAGCAACTCTTAATATCCAAATTGTCTGTCTCCTATTGGCTCCTCTGAGCGCCTGTCATATACAAGTCCCTCCCCCTTTGACCTTTGTGGATTATGTTTGAGGGCAAAGGCTGTGTGCCTGCTGCCGCGATACAAAAGCATTGTGTGTGCTCATATGCTTGTGTGTGTGTGCGTGTGTGTGTGTGTGTGTGTGTGTGTGTGTGTGTGTGTGTGTGTGTGTGTGTGTGTGTGTGTGTGTGTGTGTGTGCGCATGCATAAACCTGTGTTTGTCCAGGCATATTCA